ATTATTTTTCCAAGTTGGTTTTATTATCTTGATATGAAAAAGAAGACAAATTGTTTACTATAACGCAAATGTGTAGATTTTGAGAAATTATGAATTATCTAATATCGATGCGTCTTCTGCAAATTTCAATAAATGTAGTTACTTTTTATCTTGATCTTTTCACTTTCCAAAAATATTTACGGTTTCTGCTATTTTATTTTGTTTCGATTTTGGACAATTCATTTAGAAGCTGAATTTTTTTCTTAAAATTAATAATTTTAGCCTGACTCATCCGTCAAAATCTGCCAAATTTTCAAGCAGAAAGAAAGTTTGTTAATTATTGCTCATTAGTAAAATCAAAATAAGAAAAAATCCTTCAAATTAAGTATATAATACACAGCTGAAAAAACATTATTAATCTTGCTGCATACATTATTACTCAAGTATGACCAACAAAAATTTGCAAATCTTAGTCGTTATTGGTATTCTAATCAGTTTTTAAAAAACAAATTTCAGTTACTATTTGATTGGTAACTATATAAATTATTAATCTGGATTATACAATGCAAAGGAAAACCGAGTGCCACAGTATATACATAGACAATTTTTGTACCAGTAAAAACATATAAATATGTTAGTGCAATTCACATTTCAAGGTCATACTTCACGTTTAACATATTTTTAATGAGATATTTCTTGCATAACACGCTTGTTGCAATTATGTCAGCGTCTGATGAATTTAAGATTTTAATTTCAGCATAAAAGGATATTCACGCTTGAGAAATATGTTTTCTTTAGAGGTAAGACACACCCTAGGCACAGTTTTCACAATGATTATTATCAGTTCTCTAGATAGAATTATGAACTGGAAGCAAATTTATGAAAAAAAATCATTAGTTTCAAAATACATGTTTTCATTTTTTTTTAAACAAAATTACAAGCAAATTTCGATAAATTCCTCAAAAAATGCTCAAAAGATTTTTGTGCTGAACACATAATTTTATTCTACTAACTAATTTAGAAACGGCTTGTCTTAGATTTCTCGAAGTTTTGAAAATACAATTTCATTATAATTAGTGTTTAGTGTAACATTGTACACAATCAAAGTTAATACATACTTTCTTTGCCATCAAAGACTTCAAACATATTTTGAAAAGCTCACACTTTCCTTCGTATTACATGTATAAAACAGTTCAGTAAGCTAAGGAAGTATTGTAGTGAGTTCCATCGGGCGAATTTCTACTTTCATGTTTTATCGACGTTTCATGACCCCTAGACATGATAATAGCTCTCCCATTTGTGATTTATGAATCCGCCTCGTTTTTCACTTCCCGAGCGTAAGTGAAGGAAATTTTGTAATCGGGTCCGTCGGCCGACTCTCTACTTTTACGTTTTCTCGATCTTTCATGACCCCTACAGTACGAAGAAATAGGTCTCTCATTTCCGTCTGTCTGTCCCTCTGTCTGCCGTCCCGGATTTTTATTAGACAGATAATCTCCGAAAGTACTGGGCCGATTGTTGTCAAATTTTTTATTTATATTAGGTATATCATGTAAATGGTAAAACGCTAACCAAAATTCGACTAGCCCCGCCCACCCGCCCTCTATTTTCTCAGAGAGTATGACGTTCGCCAAAATCAATCTTATCTGACCAAATACTAGCCCCACCCGCCCGCCCCTATTTTCTCAAAGGATATGTCATTTGCCAAAATAAGACTTACCTTAGCAAGTACTAGCCAATACTACCCTGTGAGAAAATAAAGGGCGGGTGGGCGGGGCTAGTACTTGCTAACATAAGTCTTATTTTGGCAAATGACATATTATATGAGAAAATAGGCGGGGTTAGTACTTGGTAAGATAAGACTGATTTTGGTAAATGACATACCCTCTAAGAAAGTAAAGGCTGGGTGGGCGGGGCTAGTCCTTGCTAAGATAAGACTTATTTCAGCAAATGACATATTCTCTAAGAAAATAAAGGGCGGGTGGGCGGACTTAGTACTTGTTAAGATAAAACTGATTTTGTCCCTATTAATCTTGTAAAAACTTGTGAAATTTAAAGGTGTTAAATTGCAAATTTCCATAGTAACGAGTTAAGTTCCTAAATCTACCCGAAATATGCAAAATATCACGAGTTTTTACTTGTGAGTTATCATGGTATACATATTTTTTAGTTTTCCTTATACAGGTGACTCAAAAAAATTAATGAATGTATCAGTTTATTTTATTGATTAAACCAGGGACGGCTCACTCCATTTTACCAGAAAACTTTGAGAATACAATACTGTTATTTTTAGTATTACAGTGCACCAATCCAAGTTGATACAGGTGTCCTTGCAAAAATGTTAATGACATAAAAAAAAAGTAAAAACTCAACTCAAAAATGCTAGATATGTTTCACTGCACTTTTTAGGTGCGAGAGAAGTTCTGTCGAAACAGCTTTCGACGAATTTTTTATTATTATTAGATTATCACATACATACTTTTATCATTTTTATTATTTAAACCTTGAATGAATTCATATTTCTGGTACCAAACACGTTAACAGGAGCTCGTAACATACTGGGTTCGAATCAAAGGCACTGGCGGTGATTAAATTGTTTCATTCATTTCATTAATGAATTCAGAAGAAGAAGTTCTACAAGTTTGTTATGACACTGCAATTGTTATTATCTACATTTTTCTTTAAACAACCGGAGTTATTTAATTGTACTTTAGGCGTGAGAGAAGATCTGTCCAAAAAAAAAACCTTTTTTATAAAGAAGCAGAATGTGATGATAGTTGAATTAACAGGTGCCAGACCTTTCCAAAAATTCACTCTAGACATTATTAGATAGATGTTATATCCTGAAAAAAATTGTCCCAAATTTATTTTGACAGGCACTCCTTACCCCTGAGTTCCAGAATTTTTGCCCTAGGCGTCCAAATTTTTGTAAAAAACAATTAAAATTATACAACAACCTTTTACCGAATGTTCTGAAACCTTGAAAACGTTCTAAGGTTGTCGGAAACATGGTAAGTCGTTAATCAAAATTTAACTGTTTACGACCTCTCTAAAAACTGATGACGTCATCTCAAAACTTTATCAAATAAATCCTATTTAAAATGTACGAAATATGATGAGTCTATACTAATAATTTATCATGCCATTCGTATTTTTACTTTTCGAGCGTAAACTAAGGAAGTATAGTAATCGAGTCCATGGGACGAACTACTACTTTCATATTTTGTCGATATTTCATGACCCCAAGAATACGAAAAGTAGTCTCTTATTTCCGTCTGTCTGTCTGTCTGTCAGCCTGTTGTCTGTATCAATTTTTATTAGACACGTAATCTCCGAAACTACTGGAGTATTTGTTGTCAAATTTTGTATTTATATATACATTTATATTAGGAATATCATGTAGATAGTAAAACGCTAACCAAAATTTGGCCAATCATCCCCACCAACAATTTATTGACGTCATCTCAAAGAATGCTATTTTAAAATGATTTAAGTGCCATATACAATAATATACTCCTATACTTACGCATAGCACGCTTCTTTACATTTACCTTAACATTACATATATAATTATATATCTTCATACGGGTTCTCATAAAAAATGAATAAAATTTCCAAAACCAAATTTTGCAATTTTTCGAAAATGCTATTTTATTGTACTTCAGGGGCGAGGGAATCTCTATTAAGTTAAGTAATAAAGATATTATGTGTGTCTTTGAAGTCATTTTTGGAATTTAGATTTTTTTTTTAAAAATCTTGGTGCTCCAGTAAAAATCAAGACAGAGGACACATGGACGGAAATGGGAGACCTATTGTTTCATAACTCAGAGTTATGAAACATCAACTAAACAAGAGTAGCCGGATGAACCTACTACTTAGGTTACGCTCTAAAAGTAAAAATAAACAAAATTTAGTAAAAAATGTATTGCTTACATTTGTTAGTCCAAAACACTTTTGAATCTTGAATTTTAAAAGTTTGGAACATTTTTTCGCTCGACAGTTGTCATTACTAGAATTTTTTCCGATAACCTTCAACGCTGAGTCACACAGCAGTAAAATATGATATGTTAATAATAGTGTTTATGTACGATAACATTGTGCAACGATATTAACTTTTCTTTACGTGAAAAATAACACGTTAACAACAAATTTAATCGCCTCTAAGAAAACTACTGAAGTCGTTTGACTGACACAAAATTAAAAAAAAACATTTGAAATGTGAAAAATAACACTAAACTGAAAGTACTAACCGAGTTATGAATGAACAGGTAACGTTTATTCTGTTTGTGTCTTCCAACGAATAGGCGGCTATGGTAAGTCACATGTCACGGGTACTTCCCTTTTATTGGATACAACAAAAACAAAAAACTATTTTCAATAATAACATAAAAAAACGAAGTCATCCGTATTATAAATAACCAAGAGAAAATATCATGGCCACAATCAAGTTCAAGCTTGTTTTGTTTACATCCATATTTACTGTAAGACAGGTCCTAAAAAACCACGCACACTACACAAAAATAAAAAACCAAAAATACAGTTGCTAACCTGAAAAAATGACCCAAAAATGCCCACTACACACAATTCCAAGATTTCCAAGTCGGCATATTTACGAAAATAACGCCCCCCCAGGTGCACAACTATAGATTTCACTTCCTAGTCGACTTCGACAGGTGTGGTTATTTTTAAATAATCACCTCCCACGTCCCCATTTCTTCTGTGCGCCTCTTTGTCAAACAGAAAGTAAATAAACAAAAGACACAACAAAACAAAAAATCAAGGTCGATAACGTCAGGAGATTGTACCAGAAAACTGCGTTCTAGAAACGTCTAGTCACCGCGAGCTTAATTAAAAACTATTAATAAAATTATAAAATTGTTTAATCAGCAGCGGAGTTCAGCGGAAACAAGAATTATAATTTTGCGATAAAATCGTTTGCAATTTGCATGTATAAACTTGCAACATTGTAAAATGTAACTAGTGCGCATGCGCATGTATTGTCTATAAAACAGCAGCGGCGCTGCGGTTCGTCAGTCAGTTGTTCGCAAACGTTGACAACCGAAGCAAGTTAGTACAAATACTCAGTGATCTTTTTCCTCAAGATGTCCGAAGCCCATTTCGACGAATATGAGCATTACAATTTCCAATACGACAAACATATCTACAGCGGTCACAGCGGCAAGCAGCGCTCCAAGAAGGAGGTTAGTGCACACACGAACCACAACGACCCCAGCGGTCATTCCAGAAAGATCGTCACCAAGATGATGAACACGGAGATTAACAGAAAGACGAAGAATTGACCTCGAGTTCCTAAAATGTGATTTTTTCCGACATCCAAAGACGTTCCGCTGCGAGTTTGAGGACTTTCCCCATTGGTTGTGATTTCGTTTGTTCGTAGTTGAGTATGACACTGATCGTCCCGATCGCGTCAGCCATGCCTTTATGTCATTTCGTGTATGGAATGGATTAGTTTCTTCATGTCGATGGAAGTGATAAAAGTCGACGGAATACTGTATTACTAATAAATTATTGTTACTTTTGTAGTATTGTATTTTTTAATAAATACTTTACGTTTATTTGTTTTGGTTTTTGTTTTGTATTCATTTACAGAAGGTGCTGGAAACTTTCCAGTAATTCAAGGTCGAACTCGGAGGCGTTTGTTGTGGTTGGTTGACTGGTCGATAAGGTGCGGTGGGGAAATGTTGCGCACAGGGTCAACGATTTCGCTGTATTTACACGGCTAGGTTTCAATAAAACGGATTTCCGCCTCCTCAAGCATCTTTTATTGCCACTTTTTAATTAAAATTCGCTCCACTTTTAATTCGTCTAAACCGAGCCAACCAAGAATAATCCCAGTCATATGCGACAAGCATGTGTTATTAAAGACAACTCAAAATAGCGTGTCTATTATTACGTAAATATTACATGCAGAGATACCGAAACTGAAGGTTTATTTTTACAATGTTCTCAAACAATTCCGCTGCTGTAAAGTGCTCTGAATACTTCGATAAAGATTCTGAGTGTTTACATCGTTTTTTGTTATGAAAGATATCAATTTCTAAATTGGTAAACAATCCGCTGTGTTTACACGACGTGTTTGTGATAAGATTAAACCAATTGAGATAATTCTTAAAAATAAAAAATGTTATTTAAATATACTTGTCGCGGAATGCCATTATCCTGCGAGTTCGGGTCACTTGCAAATTTTGATATGGCGTTACATAACTATCACAACAAAATATTTGAGAAAATGTTTAGCATACACGATTTGTATTAATTACCTGCGTCAAGAGTTTATTAACGATTTTTATGACTATTGCAAATTGAAACCGGTAAATTTATCGGATATTGCAGCTACTTTTACAACCTGTAATAAATACTGCAAACAAATAGTGCTTAATTTTGCAATATTTTTCGATCGAGGACGACCGAAATATAGCTTTGATTACCATGTGCTCAAGATCCTCATTTTAAATTGTATTTTTCCGTTTGTCCTCTGATAAATTCGTAGACAAAGCATAAATTGTAGACACTTCACATATTCTATTTAGTTTATAATACTTACAACATTTAGATGAAAACTTTCCTCAGTTTGGTGGAACTCTTCACTTTTGTAATACTGAACGCTCTCACAGTGGGAGCAATACTAGCTTTCAAATTTTTCATTAAGACTCATTACAGAACAATATTAATAAATGAAATGAAAGTAAAGGAATGACAGAAATATTTTCACTATTGGTATCTACTGTTAGAAAAGTGTCACGTTTTAATGTCAAGCTTTTGGGAAAATGGGTTTTCTCAGACCTAGTTTTTTGTTATTAACCTTTTATCCACACTGCTGATAATTAATTACAATACTAATATGTATTAGTGAAATTTTGGACATACTTTAAAAATATCATGTTCATCCCCACCAAAAACCTGATGACGTCGTTCTAGAATTTTGCCAAGTGGCTTCACTTGAAATTTATTGCAGCATGCCCCTTCATCTATGGATGGTTTAATCATAGATTAATATAGATGCGACATACCGGCTGATTTTGCAAAAACATCAATGCCAATAAAAAACTTGTTTCACTACAACTCGTCGCGTGAGAACTTGTTTGATCTACAGACCAGAGTGCGCTCAGGCCAATGCCGACTCTAATCGCTCAGAAGCGATTGTTTGGTTTGGACTATAATTTCTGCGGGAAATCGTTGTTTGGTCGGTTTTTATAACGACTAAGTGAATATTTTTTTACATATTTTGTTTAACTAAGAATTAATTCTTTATTTGTGTTAAATACTAGCAAAACGTCGTAAACTAAGAATATTGTTGAAATCGTAATAACTCAATAGATTTTTTTCGGTAAAATGTTTTGGAAACACTGTGTTCTATTTTGTATGGATTTTTAAATGTTTTTAGTGACAATTTTTGTGGTTGTTGTCGATACACTGTATGATATTAACAGTGAAAAAAAAAATGAAAAATTAAAATAATCGAAAATTCGAAAAATCGAAACCTTAAAAAATCGTAAAATGAAACATCAGAAAATCGAAAAAATGTAAAATTCAAAAATCTAAAATTTAAAAACCGAATAACGAAAAATCGAGAAATCGAAACTCAAAATTAAAAAAATCGGATATCTGAAAAATCGAAACATCGAAAAAGTGGAAAATCGAAAAACCGAAAAATCAAAAGATCAACAAATCGTAGAGTCGAAAAGTCGAACAATTGAGAAACCGAAATAGACTAAAATCGAAAAATCGAGAAGTTAAAAATTGAACAATTTATAAACTGAGAAATTGACAAGCAAAATATCGAAAAATCCAAATCTCGATAAATCGAGAAATCAAAAAACTTGAAAAATTGAACAATTGAGAGATCAAAAGAACGAGAAATCGAAAAGTGATCAAGTCGAAAAATCGAAAAATAGAGAAATCGACAAACAAAAAGTTAATTAACAAATCGAAAAATTGGAAAAGAGAATTTCTAAAACCAGGAGGTCGAAAAATCGAAAGATTAAGAAATATTGAAAAATTAAAATATCAAAAGATTGAAAAATCTAAAATTTTAAAATCCAAAAATTGAAAAATCGAAAAAGTAAAAAGGTAGACACATCGAAAAATACAAGTGTCAAAAATAGAAAAGCCGAAGAATGGAAATCTTGAAAAATCAAAAACCTGAAAAATCAAAAAATTAAAGAATTGAAGAATAGGAAAATCGAAACACTCCAAGGTCCAGAAATGGGAAAATCAAATCATCGATTAATTGAAAAATCGAAAAATTGAGAGTTTATAAAAGTCAAATTTGAAAAATTAAAAGATTGAAAATTTGACAAAATGACAAACTAAAAACCGGGAAGTCGAAAAATCAAAAGATTAAGGAATCGAAACATTAAAAAAAATCTAAAACTTGAAAAATTGAAATATCGAAGAACTGAACTGAAAAATCCAGGAGTCAAAAATCGAAAAGTCGAAGAATCAAAATACATATTGAAAAATCCCAAAATTGAGATATCGAAAAATTGAAAAATGAAACAAAAACTGAAAAATGGAAAACCTGAAAAATCGGAAAACTGAAATATCAAAAAACTGAGAACCTAAAAAGTGTAAAAATTGAGCAATAGAAAAATCCAAAAAGTGAAGTCGAAAAATCGAAACCTTAAAAAAACTCAAAAATGAAAAATCAAAAACCTGAAAAATCGAAAAATCAAAGAATTGAAGAACAGGAATATCGAAACCCTCGAAAGTCAAGAAATGGGGAAATCAAAACACCGATTAATTGAAAAATCTACAAATTGACAGTTTATCAATGTCAGATTTGAAAAATTGAAAAAACGACAATTGAAAAGCAGTAAATCTAAAACCGGGAAGTCGAAAAATCGATAGCCTAAGAAATCGAAACATTTGAAAAATTGATATATTGAAGAGCTGAAATAAAAAATCAAGAAATCGAAAAATCTAAAATTTTAAATATTGAAAAATTAAGTTACCAAAAAATTGAGAAACTAAAATTTAAAATTCGAAAAAGTAAAAAGTCGACACATCGAAAAACCCAGAAGTCAAAAAGAGAAAATTTGAAGAACAGAAATATTGAAAAATCCCAAAAGTGAAATATCCAAAAATTATCTAATTATCGAATCGAAATTATAAGTGAAGTCGAAATATCAAAACCTTAAAAAAATCGAAAAATTGAAAAATCAAAAACATGCAAAATCGTAAGATCGAAAAATTGAATAACAAGTAAATTGAAAAATCGACAAATAAAGAGTTTATAAAAGTCAAAAAATCGTAAAATCGAAGAGAAAAACTGAAAACCGAGAAATTGAAAAATTGACAAATTGTAAAATCCAAAAATTGAATAATAAACAGGAGTAAACTAAAAAGTCCCCAAACTAAAATTTCGAAAAACTCAGAATTCGAAAGTTGAAACAGCAAGAAATTATGGTAGAAACCGGTTAGGATGTGTATCAGATCACGGATCATGGCTTATAAATCAAATCGTTTCCGAACGCTTAGAGTCGACATTGGCCTGAGCGCGCTCTGGTCTGTAGATCAAACAAGTTCTCAGACGACGAACTGTAATTCGTGTGACCTGAATTAAAGAGAAGGAAACAGTAAGCAACTTGTAATATTCTGGTAAATCTAGTGTCAATTTGTCGAAAGTAAAACGCGTCGTTAAAAATATTATGACATTTTTTATAGTTAATTTTATTCCTAGTTAGAAATAAACACTGTTGCCAACATAAGTCGAGGAGTCCTCAACCGTTATTGTGTCTCATCAAAGCAGAAGAAGTGACTAAAGTTATTAATTAAGCTACAACGTTATCTTATTATTGTTAAATATAGGCGAACACAACATTATTTTGTTCTCAAATTTTCGAGAAAATGAGGTCCATCGTTCCAGATTTCAGTCAATCGAACCAGCAACCTTCACGTTAATAATTCAAAAAATCTAGATGTCTACGGTAAAAAATCAACTCGTATTTATAAGCCACAAGTACAGGAGTAGTCTACTGGTGTTTGCTTACTAAAAAAATTTCGAGGGACGTCATTAAATTGTTGGTGGGGAGGATTAGCTAAATTTTGGTTAGCATTATACGATCTACACGATATTCCTAACAGACACATAAAATTTGATGACAATCAGGTAGTTTCGTAGATTGTCTGTATAGTAAAAGTCGACACAGACAGACAAGAGACAGACCAAAAGGCGAGAGCTACTTTTTTTCGTACTCTAGGGGTTATGAAACGTCAAGAAAACTTGAAAATAGCCGCTCAATCCTGCCGAGCACTGTCGAAACGGAACCGCAGTCCAGGTGACTCAGGCGGTTAGAACGTGAGATTTCCGTAGCAGCGATATAAACAAATCTAAATCAGCTATGATTCGGTCCCTGTTCCCGGCTTTTATCAGCATTTATCAGAAATAACATATCATATATCCAAGACACGTCTTTAAATGTAAGTGGATGTAAGGTTTTTTTCCGCTTAAGCGATTTTGCCAACATACTCGTTTATGTGGTAACCTGTTCTCTATTAACTAACCTTGCCTGTATGTAAGGTTTTAAGTTAAAATGATACTATTATAAACATTTTTTTATGTGTGGTTACTTTTAAACTGAGAGTGTACGTTTTAACTCAATTACGTTTTTAAGGAAGACTGGCTATACTTGAAACTTTCAAAACACTGAGAACATATTATTTTCGTATAATTGTAATTTAATGTTTTTTTTACTTAATGGTTGTATTTTTTGTGTCAGGTTGACAATCTATTTAAAATTTTATGATGGCATATCTGAAAGTGACATCTATGACAGCGGCCATCGTCTCAACCAATCAACGCGTTGGTTAGGCGTGGAGATGTAAAAAAACGTTTTTTTTTAAATCTGTTTGTTTTTATGTTTTAAAACACGTCTTTTTTTATTTTTTATAAGTTTACTAACTTTGACCCATCCATAAAGACAAACCTTTCTTTTAATAAAAATAATTAAAACTGTCATTGAAAAAAGCAAAAATACTTTAATTTTATAATGGGGCCATATGTTAACAACTTATAGAATCTACCTGTGACGTGTTTCATAACCTAACTTCAAGGTGGGAGGGAAATCATATCATATATGTATGTACATATTATATATGTACCTATTACAAATAGACGATAACTTGAATATTAGTTGTATATTATCAGAAAAAAATAAAAATTCGTAAAAACTTAGGTGAACAAAAGAAAGAAAATTTAAAGTTGTTAAAAAAAAAACAAAAAAAAAACGTATTTTAAAGCCAATAAAAGAAACGCTTTTTTTACACTCGTATCACTAGTTAGTTAGGCGCGCTCATGTCAAAATTGACAACTGTGAACTGACGTACCAGCACGGATGCCAATAATTCAGAATTGCCAACACAAAAATTTGCTTAAATCATTAAGTCACCCTGTATTTAGAAGAGTAAATAAATATATATTTATTTTTATTATTATATTATTTATTTATTAATAATCCAATCGGTTACTAGAAACTTCCCAGATAAAGACTGGACGAAATAAAATCTACTTGGTTATACAATTCTGAAAACCTTGGGTTGGGCGGTCGAAAAGGGTTAAAACTGACAGCTCTTCAAACTAGGCCGTTGTGTTTTGGTATCGATTTCTCTAAAGGTTGTATTATAAATAGGTACAGATTCCATCTTGAACATTGTTTTGATATATCCACTTACACAGGTGTCCTAATTAAAACTCCACTACCTTATATCTTGAGAATGGATGGAGATATTGTAATTCTATGAACGCCACTGTATTTAGCTTGAAGAGAAAAACTTAATTTAGTGCATTGCAAACATGAAAAAAGTATTTGTCCATATACCTTTAGTTTTAACTCATTACTGAGGAGACACACAAAGCAAAACAATTTATTTTTTCCACAAGCGCACATCCACAAAAATTTATCATACGTGTTATGTCTCCGTATGAAAGTCTCTCGTCCCTAAATTTTTAACTACAATTTTAAGGCAGAGGACGATTTTTCATTAAATACTCAACTGAATTCATTCTTTTTATTTAAAAATAAACAATTTCACTCGCGCAGAATGAAAATGAACTCCCGTAGTTCAATTACTGCTAGCGGTCACCTTTTCAAATCTAACCCGATTGTAGCCAAATACAGCGACTAGAGGCGCGGTTTCCATGGCAACGGTGTAAACAAAAAATCTAAATGAGTCATGATTGGGTCTCCGTTTTTATCGAGACTTTACCAACAATGCAATATCTTTAGATGTAAGTTTTGATACGTTTGACACAAATGGAGCGAGATAAAAAAAATGGTTTTGATAATTATGACGCAAACTTCCGGATAATTTTTTAAATATTGAAAATTACTATTTATTTTTCTACGTCCAGGTGTTTGTAGAGGTTGTAAATTTGTGGAGCACGCCCCTGTTTCAGTGTTTATAAATTTAACTGAAAATGAAATAAATATTTATGTGTTATATATCACTGTAATTGCTATTTAATAGAATTACATTAAAAAAAAGACGTGACTGACTTAGTAGTCGTTTTGGACATCTATCCTTAATCATGGTCACTGAATAAATTTCTTCGCTAGAATCCGCAACAAAAAACACAAAAAACATGTTCAACTACTTCAAAGAGTAAAAATTAGCTTTTTTAGTCACACATCATTCGTAATTAAAACCAGACAGAAGAAACTCGCAATGTGTGTTTTGCTTTGCTATTAAAATATCTACAAGAAGAAAAGTTGTAATTAATGCTTAAAGTATAACTTAACGTTTCAACTTTCTCCTGTTTTTCCATTTTTGAATTATTAATGGCCACATTTATTAAGTTGTTTCGATTAAAGCGGAAAATTGATCAATTATTTTGCACATTAGTACAAACTAAAAGAATGAGTTATTCTAGAACGATTTTGCATCTTTTTGTCATTAGACCCTTTTCAAACTAATCAAAATAAATAAAAAAATAATAATTTTCTGCCTGGATATTTTTGACTATTTTTCATACAATTTTGGTTACACAGAATTATGTGTTTACATGATTACATAATGACGTCATACAGCAACCACTATCACTAATGTAACCACATTCATTTAGGTTGGTTGATTGCGAATAAACCACAATCAGCCATTTCACACAGTTTTTACGTAGCAGCAGTTCAAATTTAATTTAATCCACCCTATCATGATTCCTGCTTTTCAAAAAATTCGAATTGTAAAACGGACTCAACTTCAAACCCGTTAGGAAACAGTATTTTCAAAAATTTTGGCAGGATGCGTACTCAATCATAAAAGCAGATTGAATAGATTTTAATTTATGACATAGAAAAGAAATAAATTTATATATATTTGACTTTATCCGATATTTCAATCTTCCAGGACTATCCTCAAAAAAGATGGAAGTGCCGTTGACGCCGCTATTGCTACTATGTTCTGCAATGGAATCTTCACTATGCAAAGTATGGGACTTGGAGGCGGTTTCCTCATGACAATCTACATCAAAGAAAACAATACCGCGTATACTCTAAATGCTAGAGAAACGGCACCTCTAAAAGCAAAAGCTGAACTATATAAGGAAGACCCACTGATATCTCAAAATGGTGAGAAAATCTATATACTTATGAATTATTATTATTATTATTATGACAATTTCTCAATGTGTTAGTATTAAATTAGAAAGCTGATTATAAAACTGTGTGACAAGATTGTAACATACTTAAATAAAATAAATTAGATCCGTATTAGACATCTGGAAAGCAATAAATCTTGAGCGTTCCGTTTGGGACGTCAGCGATTTTGTCAACCATCGATCAATCTGAAACGTACTGTACTTTCATAATATTTACAACTAATTGCACTGCGTTGTTGACGAAAAAGCAAATGGCCTCAAAACAATCGTTAAAATTTATTACTTGCCAAATACGTGGACAACTGTAGGCAGGTAATTGCAGTTTGAGACTTTACAATGGAATTACATTGCAAACAGTTGTTTATTTGGAAATTAGAAAATGAGGCTAATCCAATACTAAATACTTACAGGTGCTTTAGCGATAGCCGTTCCAGGCGAACTTAGGGGCTACCAAGCGGCTCATCAACGTTTTGGTAAATTAGAATGGGCAGAACTGATTGAACCTTCAATACAACTATGTGAAAAAGGTTATGAAATGTCGAAACATCAATATGAATCTTTGCAGAAAGCAAAACTCACGAATGATAGCAATTTAAGGTTAGTAATAATAATTAATCATCATAACTTTCAAACTTCTAAATTCAATTTTTTTTTCAGAGAATGGTTTTATGATTCTGATGATAATTTCAAAAAGATAGGTTCGACGATCGTCCCAAAGAAACTATGTGAAACACTCCGACTAATTGCCACAAATGGAGGCGATGATCTCTACAATGGTACCTTAAGCGAAATGCTTCTAGAAGACTTAAAGAAAATCGACAGTATTATCACAAAAGAAGATTTAGAGAAATATGAGTAAGTATGTTTGTTATAAACGGATTAATCATATTTGGGTCTAAAAGTAACTTGTTATGTTTTTTAATCTTATCAATGACTGTTTGTACTTCATCAGGAGGTTTATAACAAGTTCAAAACAAACACCGTAAATTTCCTACTGTTATCTTCAGTTATCACTTTCGACGACTCATTAATTTTTTCATTTCCAGAGCACAATGGATGGACCCTATAGTGGTCGAGTTACGTAACCACGAAAAATTGTACTCGGTTCCTCCTCCCGGGTCTGGAGCCCTTTTAGCATTCATTATGAATATTCTGGACGGATTTAAATTCAAACCAAGTGATATCGACGGAGTTCAAAACACTGTTGAAACGTACCATAAAATAATCGAAGCTTTTAAGTACGCTTATGCTAGGAGAACTGAATTAGGCGATACGTCTTTTGTAAATATTACTAATGTAAGTTATGTCTTTCGTAATGGTTGTAGAAAGTTTAACGGCTTATTTTAGTTATTACACAATTTAACGTCACCCGAATATGCGGAAATGATCCGCAAAGAAATCAAAGATAATCATACCAGCAATAACCCGAAGGATTATGGTGCCATATTCTATGGTAAAAGTGATCATGGTACAGCGCATATATCAGTATTAGCAGAAAATGGTGACGCGGTCTCAGTCACCAGCTCTATAAACCTCTTGTAAGGGAAATTAATTTTACTTTTGTTTCACAAAAAGTAGCTCATTAAAATAAAGTAGATTGCAAGCGTGTAATGAACTCATTACACAACAATCGTAGAAATACGTTTTTAAGTATACAATTTTGCAGTTTTGGAGCTGGTTTGACTTCTGAAAGCACTGGAATCATCTTAAACAGTGTAATGGACGATTTTTCGTTCCCTTATTTTCGAAATTACTTCAACCTACCCGGGTCTCCCAATAACCAACTGAAGCCCGGGAAAAGACCGTTGTCTTCTATGAGCCCTAGTATTCTAGTAGATGAGAATGGTGACGTAAAACTAGTCATAGGAGCTTCCGGTGGCACCAAGATCACTACCGCAGTTGCTTTGGTAAGTTGGGACATTGTGTTAGTGACATCAAATATATATGGAGTTAGTAGTTATGTAATACCGATTGTTGCCCACATTTTTTTCGGGAAATTTGAATTATCGCCCATACGTGGCGATAAATTTAAACTGCCACTCATACAAATTCAAATATAAAATATGATGTCATTCTGATCCTCTTTTTACGAGCGAAATTTAAACTGAAGTTGCAGTTTTATTGGATATAATGAGGGATCTGCTGATCACTCCTATCGAACAGGTTTTTCTTTCTACTGTGTAAATGATGAGCTTTTTTGGGTTAGTTGAAAATAAAACATTTTATGAGGCTAAATAAAACACCATTTATTTTAGATTACTTTATTAAAGAAGTAAAAAACTTGAACTGTATTGTTTAAGATGTATTAGTTTCAGATTTGTTTCACACTCTTTCTCCTTGCAACCATCATTATATCTTAGCATGTGATGATAGCCTTACTAATAAATATCGTAATATTTTCCTGCTTGTGCTCGTATTTCGCTCAAGGATCATGATGTTGCTTTACTACAAATACAAGAACATGAAAACCATATTAGCTACTATCAACCTATATCTTCACAACTACCCACTTGATCACACTAATAAGGATGTAATTGATTATCCTACACTTTTCATACAGTACTATTATTATGCGTATTGTTGAAGCCTAATCATTTTAGATCGCTTTTTCTTTTTTTTAAGATTTTTTTTTTCGACACATACACGTACATTTGGATGGTTGACCCTCGGCTGTTCAATATCAGAGGCACGATGTAATTTATGTTCAGGTTCTTCATCAACTGCATTTTTCATTTTTTTTTAAGTGATTATTTCACTCCTGTGTATTTGAAGGTAATTTCTGTGAAAATTAGATTCCTTCCACATCAATTTAGATAAAATTTCGTACATAGAAGCCAATATTTCGAAATATTTGATTCGCTTGTTTTGATTTTACTAAGACAGACCTAACATGTTTTGAAAAACAATCTATAACAACAAGTTTGTAGATACGCTTTAGTTTCTGTAGATCTACTTGTAATGTTTCATTAATACCCTCAGTTTTACACATCTTCTAAAAACTTGAATATTTTGTTGGAATATTATCGTCTGAATTTTGATATTTTTTTGGATTTATTTTTTACTGAAATAATATAGGTAAATCGGTTGCCAGTTAAAAAGACTATCATAAATCTACTCATGTATCATTGAAAATACTAAATGCACTAAAAGAAAAAGTTTGACTTGAAGTAAACGTGTGTACTTACTTATTTTAGAGAGAGAATTTTTTAATCCCACAGCGCATAGCGTTTTTTATTTTAGTAAAGCCGTATTTACTAAAACTTACAAATATCCTTGACGTTTAATGGAAGCTAAAAAATGAAGTGTTCTTATATTTTACTAATTCTTTGTTACTAAATAAAAAAGTAAAAATTGCTAAGTGTATTGTGGGTTGCAGGTATAGTTAACTACAGCTATTGTAACTCGTACTTTTGAGTATGGAAAACGTTCATTAAACATAACATTTAAAATTAGTTATTTGAGACACAAGGTCGGAAAATTCATGTTTACGAGTATTGGTGGAGCCGAGGCGCTAGACGAGGCGGAGCCAGACGAATACTCGCAAAAACATTTTGTGGTGTGTGTCCTACAAAATTTGGTGGCCGACATGTATTTAAATTCGTTTATGTCCAATTAGCTGAGAAAGTGCCGAAACTTTACTACTTTATTTTGTTATTATTGAAAGTTTTGAGGAGGGGTGGTATGAATGCTTAATTAAATTGTTTAAATTGCCTACATGCTAGATTAATTATATGTACTCGTATGTAGAATGATTGACATACCTATATAATCCAATGGTTTTTGTTCCAAATATTCTTTCCCTGCACCTAGGATTTTCCCTGCAACGCCAATTTTTGTCTTCTTACATTCATCACCATAAGCTTCTGCTACTTCAGAAGAGCGTCATCATCCGTGCTTTAAATTCCTTCTAAATTGCTTACTGAACTAATGTGTGATGCGCATTGTGTGCTTCTTCATACAAATGTGCAATTTCGATGGTAAAAGTGAATTTTTGACTTAGAAGCGAGTTCTTTGATTTCTTTAGAAATGTCCTCCAAGGAAAATTTTAGATCTTCGTTAAAGTTGCTGCACGCTTGCATTTTCAACACAGTTATAATTAACAACCGGACCAACCGTCATCTCCAGGTTTTATTACCATGGAAGTCCTTACTGCTTTGCACTCTTCCATCCCGATTTTCTTCACCATCTGGATAGTGTAGACTTGCTGGCTCAGGAACATACCGCCATCAGATTGATTTATTTCAATGCCCAGAAACATCCGCAGTTTTCCTAGGTCTGTCATATTAAACTGTTTAAGTTTTTCCTTGACAGTAATCAGGGATCCACAGTCATTTGCCGCGAGGATAATATCATCGACATACAGAAGAAGGTAAATTTCGTTGTGGTCAGTCTTCTTCATATAAAGACACTAACTTGTCTTTCTCTGACATTTTTAACGACAGCTTCTTTATGTAGTTGTCAAACCGTGAATTCCACACACCAGGGGCTTGCTTCAGCTCATATAGAGATTTTTGTAATTTGCACATTGAGTCTGAGACAGTACTGAGTCTTGGGAGATATATATAGATATAATATAGATTTCTTCATCAATGTAGTCATGCAGGAAGGCATTTTTCATATTGAGTTGCTTTATATTTGTCCAAACCTCCAAGTTCATTTTCTTTTATTTTGAACACACATTTGCAGTCTATTGTCCTTTTTTCTTCAGGTAATTCTTCACGTGTCCATGTTTCATTTTTCAATAGTGATGTCATTTCTTCACGGATCAGAGTCAGGTCTTTCTTGGATGTGGTAATATGTCAATGGTACGTCATCAACGGATGCACCCAGGGCAACTGTGGAAGTATCGTAATCTTCGAAATACTTTGGTGTAATTTTCTTCCTGCTGCTGCGTCTACGTTCAGTTTCTGACGTTTCTTCGAAATCTTTGGTGGCTTGCTAAATGTCTTGCTCAATACTTTCTTGAGCAATTTCTTCGATTTTTCCTTCAGACTCCTGTTCCTCATAGAATGTTGGTTCCTCGACTGCGAATTTAGTTTCATCAAACGTAATATCTCTTCCAAAAACAACACGTTTTTCTTGTGAGCACCAGAGCCGGTAGTCATTTGAACAATACGCTGTCATGAAGCAAGTTTTGGTTCTAACTAGAATCTAGCTTCCCCTTTATAAGTTCGTTTCGCAGTCGTCAATATGCTATACATCCAAACACTCTAAGTTTCTTCTTACTGTACTGTAGCTCCGTAGACACCTGATTTTTTAGTCGGAGACCTATTTATTAGATGACTTCAATCCACAAGTATTTTTCTGTTTTTGAAATATTTAATCATTTTGCTTGAAAGATGTTCTCGCCCATTGTCACATCGAAATCTGCTTATTTTCCTTTCAAAGTGGCTGTTGACCATGGTCTCATAATCTTTGAAACGTTCGAGACCTCAGACTTTATATTGAGCAGATAAAACTAAGACAAAGTGTGTACAATCATCGATGAAAGATAGAACATATCTTTTTCCATTATACGCCTCATTTTGAATTCGCCCCATTAAATCATTATGCACAAGTTGCAGTGGTCTAGTAGCCCTTGTTCTCCACTAAAGATGAGCTAATCTTGTCTGTTTTCCTTCTACACATATTGAACATATGCGTGGATTTTGATCTAGATTTACTTGAATTCGATCAACCAGATGTTTTACTCTTTCGAGACCATTTCTACCGATGTGTCCCAATTTTTGGTACCATAATTCAGAACTTTCTCGAATGACACCGGGCTAGGTTTGTTTTTATTGTAAATATTTTCTTTTCCATTTTCGAATACAGTCTTCAGGCCAAACATTTCCAATTTCCACACTGACAGTAAATTAAACTTTAAGTTTGGAACTAGAAGTACATTATTAATCGTAACAAGAGTTTTTTCGAGGGGTACACCGCCGCCCATCAAGTGTACAATTGATTTCCTTTTGACAATGATTTCCTGTTGATTTCCCCCGATTTCTTTTGATTTCTTCTGATTTCCTTTGATTTCCTGTGATTTCCTTTGATTTCCGTTGATTTTCTGTGATTTCTTTTGATTTCCTGTGATTTCCTCTTGATTTCCTGTGATTTCCTCTTGATTTCCTATGATTTCCTCTTGATTTCCTCTTGATTGCCTATGATTTCCTTTTGATTTCCTCAAAATTTGTTTACATAATGTACTACAGGGCGATTGTTAACTTTTTTTTAACTTGACTTTTTTGTTTTGCCGATAATGATGTTGAATTGAAACCTTTTTTTATCAAGTGTTTACTAACGTACGGTGACTAGGTAAGCTGAAGTGCTTTCCCTTTAGACGAAAAAAATAAATAAATAAAATGTATTGTGCTGCTAAGCAACAAACTGAAATGTTTAAGAAAAAAAACTGATTTTACTTACAAAAAGAACGCTACTCTAAAATCGAGGTTTTAGATGTCTAAATCAATAGAGTAAGTATACGTTCGAATTTTACACTTTCTTGGGTCAAATGTTTGTTCTAAAAGTGCAATATTCTAGATTTTTTGCACATTCAATCAGAAAACCTTATGGTCTATTTTAATTTTGAAATTAAAAATGTCTGGTGTGTACAAATTAGTTCGTTTAAATCACTCAAAGACTTAATAAATTATATTATGAAATTTTGCTTTTGACTTTACGAAATTAAAAGTACATAAGGCCAAGGATATTTTAATACTCATACTCATACTCATAAGGCAACAACGACTGGCTCATACGTTCACAGAAGTAATTAATGAATACCAAATAGTCAAAAATCATTCTATTAGGTTCATCTCTGTGTTGTGCATACAAGATCATGTTAAAGTTTGACCTACTAAATCAAACTTATAATAATAACTTAAGTCATTACTTCTTAAAAATTGGGTTTATTCATTTATTATGG